GCCACAGCATCTGTAACAACTTGATTAGATCTTTGATCATCTGTTCCAGGTTGAGGATCTGACCAAAAAATACAATCACAATCACAAAATCATTTGGAAAAAATTATCATGTTGTTTTCCTTCCCTAACATGGAATCTGCTACACTGTTCATGTGTTAAAGGTAACAAAAAACCTGTTCCAATTCAAAGGTTTAGATGAGCCAGATGTACTCCGATATCTTAACCACTAGGCAACCACACCTCTCAAAGACAGCCAAAAATATGCCAACCTTGATGTATGAAAATTTTAACAGGACCTAAGAGTAGGAGTTTCTTAACGTTTTCAGCAGGAGGCTCTCTGGTTTCTACAGGTGCGCAAAACTATTAGAACTGAACTTCTTTGTAAGAAACACTTTTCACTAGATGGTCAAACCCGCCAGGCAAAATAGCCCTCACGGCCAGTCAAACTGCCTGGTGCGCAGCCCTTAATGAGACCCCCATAAGGGACTAAAATAAAGAGATTATATTGCATTTGAGATACGAGTATACAATTGTTTGCTTTCGTTGACCATGCCCCTGAACCTTAGCACCATGTAAGAATTTTACAATATTGAAATTGGCCTATTGCCAATTAACCTTGCATAGCTGCAGGAGTAGAAGTCATCAGCCGTTTAAAGGAGCCATCTAACAATGACAAGTGTGTCAAGTCAAGAAGCAGGGTCCCTGATGCATGGATGGCACATGTGTTCATCTATAACATTGAAAGACTTTTTTGGTTAATAATTATGCAAGGTGAGTAGAAAATTACTTACAATTGTGTATCATGTGATAAAAAGTGGTTTAATGACACCAAAGTACTGACCACCCAGAGAACTAAACTGTCTAATAATTAATAATAAATTATAACAGTTATTACTATTAATAATAAATTAACTATTATTTTTATCAATTAAAATAGTAATAAATAGAGAACAAAATTGCTCTGAATACTCTGATCCTTAAGGTTTCCCATAGGTAGTCTAGACCCCTTAAGATTCCAAAGTTGGTCTGAAGACTTTCTGAATGAAACAGAAAACTTCTAAACACTTCAACAACCTTACCGGATAACTTTCCTCAAGAGTTTTGAATGAAGTTAGGAAAATAGCAAGTTTGAAAGTCTTACCTTAAAATCATTCCTACTTCCCAGGACTTCACCAGTACGGCTAAGAATAAAAAAAATCATGTATAAATAGCGGTAAGCATTATAGCTGGTAGCAACTGGTGACCTGGATAGATTGATACTGACAGTCCATAACAGGTATCTCCTGCAACGAATTTTAATCAGGCTGCCCCAATCAATAGCTGAGAGGAGCAGTGAGGGTTATTCTTGTGGTTTCAGGTAGGCACTGTGAAAGTGAAGCAATGACCCTCGCCAGGTTCAAATTATCCAGAATCTCTTTAGGCAGAATCCACCACATGACCAGGTAACCACACCCCTGAAAAATTAAGCGAGCTCCAGTAGTCGTTGAAATGTTTATAGTCTGACAGCCCTGATCCCTGTTACATCAGGGAATAATCCCAAACATTGTTGATATTGTGTGTTCATGTATGTACATGTACCTTAATAGCACATCTTCCTTGTCCTTCTCTCCCAAGGGAACTAAAGCCAGAGGAGTCCTGGGCACAATATTCGAGGCCTAACAATGTAAAATTTACAAGTTTTGTTTTAAAATAATTATATTAGAATTTAAAGCTGACAATATTGCACAAATGCTTGTAGCAAAAACAATTTTAAACGTTTCCCAGTAACAAGGGAGACTGATGAGATAACTGAGTGCTTGTCTTTATTTCTGGTTTGTAAGTCAACTTGGCTTGACATACAATGACCGTCTGCCCACAGAAAACTCATAACAATACCTCTCTTTGAGGGTCATCTTCATCTTCCTTCAAGTCAATATTTTTAGCTTCTTTTATATCATCTAGCAAGAGAAACTGAAAAGTACAAATGGAAGCTCAAATCAATACAGAATAATATGCTAAATAGCCTTACTTCACCTATGAACTACAATCTTTCTCATTCATTGGGCAACTGATGGACTACATCTACTAGTCTGACAGAAAAATCCAAAAGCCCTCCGCTATTGTACAGGACTCCTTTTGTACACTGTTAAACTCCAATTGAAATATTGGAGGGTAGATGAGCAAGACACTGCAATGCAAAGCACTCCTCCTGGTAGCCTCTGTCCACCCCCCACCCCAACATATCAGATGGTGCACTGGCCGGCATTGGCTTGATTTTAACTTTGCATAAATTCCATTCAGCCTCATTGACTTGAAAATAAATTTGTGTTATTTTGTTTCACTGAATGTGATGGTTACCTCAGCAGCGTCATCTCTGAAAGACACATCCCTGTCTTTTCCCTGATCATCAACTGAAGATGCTTGCTGAAGTCGTCTGTCACAAAAAGCACAATAAAAAATAAACAAACAAACAAACATTTTGTCAGTGTGAAAGACAGCTGGTTTTGAAAGTAACAATCTCCCTGCCAACTGAACAGCTGTAACTAATGACTTACTTTTTACTTGCTATGAGATCCAGTGTCTGATATACCAGAGTGTACAAATACTCCACCTAAAATGACAAATTGCATTGTAACTGTGTATGAACTCAGAACACATTTTGCAAGATTTTAATCAGAAAACATATAAAAACACGCTTACTCATAAGTCGTAAGGTAAGTTCATTTAGAGGCACTTGCTATAAATTATGCTAACAACTGTCATCTAAAGTGATTTTTGGCGATGAGCACGTACTGAATATTTGTTTTGAAATTTGCTGTTGCTAAATATTATAAATACTAAGACAAACTCTTGACCTTCGATAAACAGACAGCTCAACAGTAGCTGTTAGTTCTTATACCTTCTTACTGTAGACACAAGCTGATCCTTGAATCACCAGAGCAGCTTCAGCAAAATTCATGGTTGTCTTTCCTCCATCAAAAGATATTTTGATCCTTTCGATCTGAAACAAACAACACTGCCATTGTAATCTGGAAGCATTTTCAACGTACATCTCATGGGACTCGAAGGCAAGCGTAGCGATTCAGTGGAAGTGCGTTTATCGATCTCGAGCTACTGAGGCGCAAACAATATTTTACGTTTCTTGTTATCAAGCTACTTAGACAGTTAAACGACTGTAGAATAAAATTTTTAAGCTTAAGCTTAGCCTATATTTTAAATTTCAAGTGGAGTAATCAATTTTCACCTCTGCAAGATACTCCTCGAGTTGAGCCGCGACATCTACGTCCCAGTTCTTGGTCAGATCGCGGATCGGCTGGAGCAAATGGCTATACTTGCTACCAACATCGCTTGAATCACTACTGGCTGCTTGAGCGG